CGGACCTTGGGGGCCCAGGGCAGCCCCTTGGGGCAGGTGATGCGCTCGCTGGGGGGGTGCTGGGTGGGGGGGGGCATCACTTCATCCCGCTCCAGGGGGAAGGTCTCCCCCTCCAGGCTGTTGTCGTCGTCGTTCTCCTCCTCCTCCTCCCGCGAGTCGTCGGCTTTGTAGGGATCGCGCTCGTTGAAGGCGTCCAGGTTGTCCTGCTTGATGAGGGCCTGCGGGGGGGCAGAGCATCCAGGGAATGGGCCTGCTCCAAGGGCAGTGCCCAGCCCCCGGAGGAGACCTCGCTCATGTCACCGTCCCCTCGATGACGTCACCATGCCCTCGGTGATGTCATCATGCCCTCAATGATGTCATCATGCCCTCGGTGATGTCACCATCCCCTCGATGAGGTCACCATCCCCTCACTGATGTCACCATCCCCTCGATGACATCACCATGCCCTCAGTGATGTCACCATCCCCTTGATGACATCACCATCCCCTCGATGATGTCACCATGCCTTCATTGATGTCACCATCCCCTCAATGACATCACCATGCCCTCGGTGATGTCACCATGCCCTTGATGATGTCACCATCCCCTCGATGACGTCACCATCCCCTCGATGACATCACCATGCCCTCACTGATGTCACCATGTCCTCAGTGATGTCATCATGCCCTCGGTGATGTCACCATCCCCTCAATGTCACTGTGTCCTCACTGATGTCACCATGCCCTCGATGATGTCACCATGCTCTCGATGACATCACCATGCCCTCGGTGATGTCACCATGTCCTCACTGATGTCACCATGCACTCACTAATGTCACCAACCCCCTGATAATGTCACTATCCCCTCAATGATGTCACCATGCCCTCATTAATGTCACCATGCCCTCGATGATGTCACCATTACCTCACTGATGTCACTATCCCCTTGATGATGTCACCATGCCTCCCTGATGTCACCACACCCTGACTGATGTTACCGTACCCCCATTGCTGTCACTTCCCCCTCGTTGATGTAACCACGTCCTCACTGATGTCACTGTCCCCTCGTTGCTGTCACCGTACCCTCGTTGGTGTCACCATGCCCTTGATGTCACCACCCCCTCATTGCTGTCACTGTCTCCTCATTGATGTCACCATGCCCTCCCTGCTGTCCCTGTCCCCTGTTGCTGTCCCTGTCCCCCGTTGCTGCCACCCCCCCACTGTCCCTGTCCCCTGTTGCTGTCCCTGTCCCCTGTTGCTGTCCCCCACTGCTGTCCCTGTCCCCCGTTGCTGTCCCATCCCCCATTGCTGTCCCTGTCCCCCACTGCTGTCCCTGTCCCCCGTTGCTGTCCCTGTCCCCTGTTGCTGTCCCTGTCCCCTGTTGCTGTCCCCCACTGCTGTCCCTGTCCCCTGTTGCTGTCCC